GAAGAACCGCGGTGTCCAGACGCATCTGGCAGTGAAGAGGTGGTGTTGGTGTCAACGAATCAATGGATTGGAGGTGTACGCTGCCAGACCAATTTTGAACCAAACATCCCAGGCCCTGCCCTGAGCAGTAAAGATTGAGGTGCCAAAGATTGATGGAGACTTGGTATACGTACAATCCATTCCGTGTTTGCCAATACTGACTTGTCCCATGAAGACATGTAATACAAAGTGGGCAGCTATATTGGAAGTGCCCGTGAACTGTGGCTGCATGGAATTGGATCAAACAAAGGGATTGAACATCGTCGACATGGTGGATTGATTGGCTGATATCAAAGTGGAGGGAGTTACAGTACCCATCACTCTGTAGTTAATACTTACTGGCCTTGACCCCTGAAGCCACCCCAAATGATGTAAATATGCCAGGTTTCATGGAGTGTCAGGGCTACAACTGGCCCCACATGAAGTGAGTCCCCGTACTTACAAATGCCACTCAGTGACTCCGGATCTTAAGACCAATCAGGACCCTGGAATTTGCCACGCACACGCCATGTGGATGAACGCGCCAACGGCGACTAGGCATCTTTTGGTCGCGATCGGCGAAGTCGACAAAACGTCCCTGTGTCCTCGGTCACATCTAACTTCCGCTGTTTGGAGCCTTCCAACATGGAGTTTCGGCCTCAAGAGATCACTGGAGAAAGAACCGGAAGCGCGGGGCTTGTTAGGTTCCCAATACACTAGTTGGATCATCCCCTGTTGATTCGTTTGAGTATCTGTCAATATTGATCTCAAAGCCTGCCAAGCGAATTAAACACGTCCTGGCTTGTTCATTTTTTCTTAGTGGGTTATCTATGGGACCCATGTGCTCGTACACCCGCGAAGCCCGCCATTTGGCGGCGTACTCTCAGCTCTGGGCCGATCCCGACAGCTTCTCGTGTGGTGACCCAATGCATGTGTTGAAAACAAAAACACTTCATGTATGTAGGTGCCAATCGGAGGGTCGTAGCTTCATTTCACTCAGAACGGAAGAAAGATCCCTATCTGGCTCGGTTGCTGATGGTCGGGGTACCGAGCTGTCTGTGGCGCCAGTCCCGCTGGACCGGAGATTCATCTTCGAAAAGAAGGTCCCGTCCCCAGGACGGAGTTCTTGGATGGAGACATGAGTAACGTCTCACGAGTAACGTCTCGTTCATTCAGACCTCGATCTTTCGGCCGCTGAAATGGAAAAGCTCCGTGTTTGCAGTGCCTTCGCCATGGGCCTTTAGACCCGGCTCCTTCGACCCGGAGTCGTGACGTTTGGAACCGAGCTGTTCAGATCCGAGACGGACAAAGACAACGACGTGTGACGTGTCTTCTTTTGTTTTCAAGCTGCTGTTCCTGGGAAGACTCAACCAGAGAAGTCACTCCAGGCATCCACTTTCATGTGAAGTACTGGAAGTCTCCTATAGGAAGTCACTCCAGGATACTCCACTGAAACCATGTTTTTAGCATGGAAGGACCTAGCCTATTAAGAGAGAGGAGTGGACCGCAACTTGCGCGATCTGAGGAGGTGCATCCCAAATCCCCATGCCCACTCCCTTCGTATACGGGATGTGTACGAACAAATTCACTGAACCACACAAAAAGCATTGGTCAATCTCCGAGTCCCAAACAGGTCGCGTCTCATTTGGATCTGGGAATCCCTAGGGCTCCAAGTACCTCCTCAGAAGGTATTTGGAGCCTCTAAACCCACCCCAGTCCCACCTTCGAATCGAAGGTACTTGGAGCCCTAGGGAATGGGTTCCACAACGACCTGATGAATCTCCTCCGGGCATCCCGGCTCGCGCGGCCTAAGGACGCCTGGCGCAGTGCGGCCTAAGGACCCCGGACTTTGGAGGTGTCGGTTTTCCTTCGAGACGTCTGGTGTCAACCACCCCTCAAGTTGAGCTCGACAGGTCTTAAATTGCTGGTTCTGTCGTCTTTAAGGCTGACATGGGGGTGGCTTAAAAGTCTGTCTAGAGCCTTTGATTTGGGACCTCCCCTCCGTCTTTGATGTGCGGGAAATCCTCGCACGCATTGGCGTCTCTGCCAGAAATGCGGGCAGCTATATGCCATACCCATGCCATGAAATGTGAACCTGGCAGCTATGACCGAGCGCTCACGGGTGATTGAGGTCTTGGGTCTCCATGGTAAAATCAACATCCACATCTTCCCCCTGCCCTTGTCTACTGTCTGGAGCTGCTCTCGACTAAAGTGCAGGAAAGTTCTGTGACTACAGCAACTGACAATCATGACCTACCAAGAAAACCAGAAGGACCCCCCTGACCACAACAGCAAGACACTATTTCACAACAGCTCTTCATACATAGGCTCTGGGAAGACGCGACACAACGAGCAAGAAGTGGTTCCGCAGCAAATGGGAACACGGCGCTTCGCTGCTTCATCCCAATACTTGGCAAAGGATCGGATGGAAAAGGTTTCTTTTAAATTCAGAAATCAGAGTCAGTGTATCAATTCTTCAGGAAGCTTCAAGGAATGCTCTCAGAAGTGCTTGAATCACGGGTCAAAAGACCTCCCACAAACCTGCAAGTTTACACACAACAAAGCATATGAGGAATGCATAACCGCATTCATGGAACATGTCAGTGAATGGGAACTTGAACCTATTCCAACATAGTGTATGTTTTTTGTGTGCAACATCTTGTCCACGGCGCAACCATTCCGATCTCCATGGCTGAATGGGGATCATTCACCTCGCCTCAACCCCTGTATATTTTGAACAGTTGCCACCTTGAGATGCGAACCGTCCTTGGAACTTCGGGAGGGCAAGCCGGGAAGAGATCGATACGCAAGAAACAGAATGGTCATAAAGTTATCAACCAGCCCTTCCAAAGTATCAACCAGTCCTTCCAAATTCTCAACCAGAACCTCTTCCTCAAAAATTGAACCCAAGGAAAACACACCAATGCACACTGTAAAAATCCGTGTACAATACCTCTTAATTCCTCTTCATTCCTCCTATGTCATACGCGGACATCTTCCCCTCCGGCCGCGTGAGCCGAGGTCTTCCCCGAGCTCGGTGCGGTTTCAGCGAGCGAAACCAACGGAGATCCACACCTCGCTGGGGCTCCAGTAGATGGTCTTTGACATCCTCGGAACGGACGCACGAGTGCGGACCGTGAACCGTGGCGGTGCCCGAACCCCGCGGCGGCGAACCCGCCGCGGGTGAGCACCGATGAAGATCAGCTTTCAAGTCATTTTCTCCAAGATCAGCGGCACAAGCGATCTGCGGTTTGATTCAATTGAATTGATCTGACGAACCACTTGGCTGGTCACCTCTGGCCGAAAGCGTCTTGGGCCGATTATGGACCACGGGGAAACCACCAGTTAAAATGGTTTGCATGTCCGACTGATGACTCACCGTGCTGGCTCACCGAAACCTCACCCTATACGCAACTACCGTTCCAACATCCTTATGGTCAGGGACCTCTGCCACTCGAGTGCATCAAATCCTCATGACTTTCCAGTCAAGCCTAGTTGGAAGGACTCCAATCAACGCCATCACGCCATCACTGTTGGTATTCTACCTTCCCCCAAACGATGGTCATTTGGGCAGGGGTTCCCAGCACTTCCAAGTACAATTTGTAGAGAAACAAAAAGCTGCAGCGCTAGTCGTTGAAGGCTAGAAAATGCATCAACCAGCTTCTACTGATGATTAGTTTTGGAGGGTTAGCAACTAGCGCAACAAATCTCTGAGTGATGTGTGGAACCTGCTCAGTATGCCCTTGGACAAAGAGCTCGTCTGTGGAAAGTAGCACTGATGCAAACCGGTCAGCCCAGGCATTACGCTGAAGACTGCCGAGCCACTTAGGAGGCACAAACGGAGGCGTTACATGTGCTGAGCACTTGTGGAAAAAAGTTGTTTTCAGCGTGTTTTCTGACTCCTGAAGCATACTGTGCACCATATACATCCGTGTACCAATCATCTGTATCCTGGCATTTTTGGTGCGGTCTTTGAAGTGTTCACTGGTGGACCGTCGATCAAACAACTTGATGATCAAGCATTGCAACCGCGACGAACGCGATTGTTCCGGGTGCGACTTCGGAAGCCCAAACGCCGGCAGAGCGAGCCAAATGGTTCTGTGTTCAGGAAGAGTGGGGTGCATTCACCACTCAGGGAGGCTCCTAGTAATATGTTGGGCTCCAAAAAACATCGCGTGGCTCCTAGTGATATGTGGGGTGCATTCACCTGAAGAAAATCGAAGGATCTTCAGCCCTACAATGTGGGTGCGGTGGGGTGGTAACTGATATCTTGACTTAGTACTTTGGACACCCCCTCACCAGAGGCAAGTCAATCATGCGGGATTCAGAGAGTTAGGGATTAGATTCGCCTTCCAAGATGTTCCAAGCACATGTGCCATCTGCGGCATGGCACCTGGTGGTAGACAATCCCTTGCACTGGGTGGCTGGTGGTTGTAATTCCCTCGAAACCATCGGTTTGGGGGTTTTGGCCATAGCTCATGTAAGAGCTTTGCTTGACCAATTACCTCACCAGGCCCTGTCTGGCAGACTTGGCCATGTCGGGGGCCTCCAGTTTTTTTTTCCACACTATAGGGTCCCACCCACCGTCTTGAAATGGTCTTGATACGACTGCACCTGACTCTGAAATCTCGGGATTGGGGTTTCACCTGTGCTTTCACGTGAAAAAATGCTCAACCATTCCATGTTTCTCTGAGAAGAATGCAAGCGGTCCATTCTGAAGGATATTTGTACCTTCCGAACTTCCAGGAAATATATATAGAGCTACCTCGACATCACACGCGAGGCGGCCTGGCCAAAAATAAAAAGTTCACCCAATAGCTTTCATCGAGCGTTTTCCGAAACACGATGAAGATACTCCAGCAGTCGAGTGGGCAAAAGTCGAAAGCTGAAGATCTTGAAAATAAGGAGAAGACGCAATGGCAAAAAAGAACCTTCGGACTACAGAAATTGGTTGCCTTGGTGCGTTGTCACACCTCACTGGCTTAGCACAGTAAGGGCGTGGGCCACCAGACAATCACTAACGCATCAAAATCTTCACAGGCCTCTGTGACCCCTCGGATATAGCCAGGACCGAGTGTGGTGTTCAAAAAACCCAATGCCACCTCGCAAGTGATGGCAATCGCACTGAGTTGACAGAACCAAGGCATCTCCTGAGACGAGTCACGACAACCAAGGCTCAACAATCAGCCACAGGTTTGATGGTCATGAGGGATGGTCAAGAACACCTTGCCACGGGTTTCTGTAAATGTTGGGTTAAAATGCTGTGAAACTCAAACTTTGGGAAGAACTTTTTGATTTAATTAGTCACAAATATAGAGATGCGGTTTCAGTCTTTCCCGTACCATCATTCTCCAGTGTTTCTTTCAAAGTCTGGGTACGCTGGGCCGTTTCCCCTATCACCAGCCTACAGGGATGTGGCCAGGCCTTTTCTTTTTTCGGAAGCACCGAACAAAGTGGGCTCTGACTCCCTCAGTAAAGGCTAAAGGTTAATTGTTCTCATTGTCTCCAATCCCCCAAAAAAGGTTCAGGGTTTCTCGAACCAGCCAGCGGGCTCAAACTAGGCACGGAACACGCTGCACCTATATGGCTCATGTTTCCTCAACGAAAGAGGGGGTCCTTGTCTATGTGGGTGTTCGAGAGACAGTTAATTTTGATCATGATCTAAGTCTAAGTAAGCCTTCGTGTTCCACCATTCTGTACCCATGGCCCGTGACTCAAAAATTTCAAGATTAATATAATGCACATTTTTGGATTGGACTGGCCAGCAAGGTGTGGCAATCGGTCTTGGACATGAACACACTTGGTATGCACTTGTCGTTTCTTTCTACATACACTGCTTAAATCTCTACAGGAAACAATCACAAGTTGGTCTGAGACCAACCAAGCTGTTCAACATCTGGGAGTAGTAGAGAAGTCTGCAGAAAATATCTCATGTCCAATTTAATAGCAAGAGCAATCCAGCCACGCACTAAAGCCTTTATACCACCGGCAACCCTCACTATAGATCGCTCGCAGTTCGGCATTTATATCTGCCGTGAAACCCCGTTCAGCGTCCGTATCCCTTTTTGTTGTTCCGGGCATGTAACAAGTCCAAAATGATCTAAAAACAAATTGAAACAATCAACTTATGTATATCATATCTTTGACTTGCTTCTGGGGGTATGGTCAGCAAAAAGCCAGGACTTCTGCCAAAAGTGGGTGCATCGATGTGGGTCGTGCCTGATGTGGGTCGTCGATGGCCGATCTCCAGCCACCACTCAAATCCCACCCATCTCCAGCCGGAGCAAGTTGATGACAAGTCTCTCTCAATCCATGTAACAAAAGGCACGGCACGACCTGCCGTTCTTGGCCAAACCATCGACGTAGCCGGCTTGGCAGGCTGCTGCGGCGCTGGCCCATAGAAGCTTGGGAGGTCATGGGCGTGGCCTTGGTGAGCGAGTAGGTGAATGGGTGGGTGACAGCGTGGGTGGAAGGGAGACACATGAAAAAATAAATCAAACACACAGCAAAGATCTGCAGGTAAAACAAAGCAATGTTGAACAATATGGCATTGAGTACCGAAAGGCATTGGTGACCAAATAGCTGGAAAACAAGTACAAGGTTCTACATGCCTGGTCCTCAAAAACACAAAATGTCTACACCTTTCAGACCATTGCATTCTAGAGGACTATCATCATGCAGTTCATGCAAGTGATTTTCAGGTTTCATTTTGAAGGGGGGTGGGGGACATCCATAATCATCATATCATGAAACTTACAACTTTCCGGGAATGAAACCTGGACACCGGGAAATGTATATTGAGAGGGGGGGATACACCCCCTTGAATATACATTTATGTGCCCCGGTGATCCTTTGTCACTAATGGTTCCTCTGTATTGAACGTTATGACATGTTCAATGTTTTGTCATTATTGTGTAAACTTGAGAGTGATCATGACTGACCCTAATTGCTATTTGTAACTAAGACTAAAATCAAAACTGGTGGGTTCTGTGCTTGAAATCCCACACCCTATTTTGGTCTTCCAAACCAGCCCGGCTTTGGGAATCATGTGTTTCACCATTCACCCACAAGGCCCCACAAGGATCCTGTGGACCTAGCAGGATCCTGCGGTCCATCATCTGACTGTTGACCTCATTCCTTGGAAAAAACTAACCGTGTTCATCCTTCTCCACCTGTTCTATCACTCCTGTGGAGAATCCACTGAACTTGCCGTTGGGTATCCACTCAACTCCCTCGGCCAGGTCACGAAGTCCAAGAGTTTGGGTTCTGGAAGTGGCGCGGCCACGCGTGCAGGCAACGTCTGGACTCTGCGTGGCGCCGAAATCGATCCAATCCTCACGGGTCGGGTTTTTGTGATGGGGACAACGGTGACCGAGTGAGGGCGCCAAACCAGCTGCCCTTGATGCCAGGATCTGGTGCACTCGAATCCCGAATCCAACCCCGCTGAGATCGGCAGGACGCGGCGGATCATGAGCGTCGATGGATGCTTTTGAATGTAATCCCACGGACAGGATGTGGTTTCAGGACATGTGCCGGGTCAAGGGAGGCCGTTTCATATGCCAAAAGATGTATATAAACAAATAGAATAACCAAGTGACAACATGTCAATAAATTTGTCAGTACATATCTCATTTTAAGTGTCAGTCTACATGTCAGACCATTCATCCACTAGAGATCACAATGCATACGGGTATAAATGCAACGACATGTACTTGGATTTGCTGAAGGAACCTGGAAAATAAAAACATATTCCCCGGAAGGGGATGTACCCATAGGGAAAAATCACCTTAAGCAAAACCAGCTGCATCAGTACATCATATGTCAGTGCCCAAGAGTCGGTCGGTCATCGCAGCTCTGGGCGGTGGGGTGAAGGTTGAGCTGGATGAAGCCCTCTCCTTGACTTCGCGTTTCTGGGCACAACAAGCCTTCTGATCTAGTTGGATTCAGCACTAGTAAGGTAAGATTGAAACGATATATGTACATAATTTATATATATATATACATGGTATAACCCCCCAATGTCAATCACTTTTGTATAGTTCTTATTTGTATTTGCCGTGCTTTAAGCACCTTGGTTGACCGTTTGTTCTGGGGTGGTGGTGGGTGGTACCATACATGCGTACATACAACCACATCTAAACCCACATACATACATGCATGCATACATACACCGGTATTTCGTGGATCCTTGGATACTTGGACTTGAAACAAGAGGTCTTAAGTAGGTCTCAAGACCTCTCAGGTTCTAAGATCTAAGATTCACCAAAAAAGTAGTGGGATAATCTGAGATCTTAGAACCTGATAGGTCTTAAGACTTTCCCAAGACCAAGTCTTTCCCAAGCCCGCTATTTCGCAGTCAAGCACTGCACCTTTCTTCCTCAGCTTGGGGTGGCTCAGCAGGCTGAAGCGGTTCTGGTTCCATCCCGACAGCAGCTTGAACAAGGTCAAGAGGCTGCGCAAAGCTCAAAAGATCTTGGGTCGCTGGCTTTTCCCTTCTTACCACTCTCTTTCTTCTCCTTTCCACTCTCTGACTCTTTCTTCTTACCACTCTCCTTCTGGTCCTTCTCCTTCTTGCTTTTCTCCTTCGCCCCATCAGGCTTTGCAACAGCCTTTTTGGCACCCATACTTGAGTCTGAAAGGACCTGCCCAGCTTTCATTTGGATATTTAGCTACTACCACAAAATCCCTCGAAAAAGTGAACTCTGCTCCAATGAAAGGTCATGTGTGCACCATGGAACACATGACGTACATGATGTACATGATATACATATACATGATGCACACTGTACACATAAGCATAAGTGAATAAAATGCCGCTACTTTCTGCTACGTATGTACACCTTCTCAGGTTCTGTCCTTCCAGACACTATCTTCTCAAGTTCTCTCTCTTCAGTAGTTTCTTTTCTGGTTTCGTCTTCTCAAGTTTTCTCCTTTCACGTTCCCTCGTCTCAACTTGAAGCTCTCTGCTTTCAAGCCATTTGTTGTCAAGGAGTCAAGGTGCATCTTCTCAATTTTTATGGTCTCAGTTTCTCTCTTTTCAAGTACTCTCTTTCCATTGATTTCCTCTCAGGTTCTCTCTTCTCAAGTTTTCTGTTCTCAAGCCTTATGTTTTCAAGCTGTTTCTTCTCAATTTTTTGGTCCCAAGCCCTCTGTTCAGTTTTTTTGTCTGTTCAAGCTCTCTGTTTTCAATTTGTGTCTTCTCAATTTCTATGGTCTCAGGCTCTCTCTTTTCAAGCCTTCTGCTTTCAAGCTGTTTCTTCTCAATTTTTATGGTCTCAGGCTTCCTGTGTTCAACTTTTTTCTTCTCAAGCTCTCTGTGTTCAAGTTACAGTATCTGTTCTCAAGCTCCACTCTTCTCAAGTTCTTTGTTCTCAGTTTCTCTTTTTTCAAACGTGACTGCACACCCTTGAGCATGAAGTACCTCGCCAACAAGCAGATCATATTCCATACCGATTCTGCTCGGGCTGGCAAACTCAAGTTGCCAGGCTGGCAACTTGAGTTTGTAAGCCCGAGCAGTTGCCAGGGGCTTTGCATGACTCCGTCGTCCACATGAATCAAAGTGTCAAAGTCAGTGGCAAATGAAAATGGATGCAGCCCAACTTTGTCAAGGTGGTTAAGCACAAACTTCCAACGGGCAAGTGGATCAAAGCGAAGGCTGGCGCGCAACAACACATAGATGGGGCGTGGAAGTATATTAAGGTACGTCTCACCAAAGGTCTCAATTCAAGGGCGGGCATGAGAACCATCCGTGCACAAAATTCGTTCTGCTAAATACGAGTATTGGCACCGTGCAGAGGACTTGCGGTCGCGTACCGGAGACTTAGTGCACAACTACATGTTGAACAGTCATTTAGCTGCTCGCTCTATGTTTCTCCAAACAAGCTTCCAGCATGCTGCGCCCCATGTTCCTCGGGCTGCACATGTGAGAACTATCCATGGTCTCTCATCTGTCTGCATCTTTGTTATCTAATTTCCCAACCTTGGAAAGCTGCACATCTGATTGAATTTCCATGGGCTCTCATCTCTCTGCATCTTTGTTATCTAATTTCCCAACCTTGGAAAACATCTGCCCTTATCTGTGTGCAATTGTGTGCATTGGTCAGCCATTCTGCTTATATTCTTGCATTTAAATCACAGGACGACGCTGGGTAAAAACCATGCTAGCCAACCAAAAAGGTATACATTTTTTGGGGGTACAAGTAGCATGTGTGTATATATATAATATAATACAAGTGTAACTAATTATATATAAAGAGAGAGTAAGAAAAACATATGTTTCAATTCGTTAGGGGCCAGGGGATGATTTCATAATGTTATCTGTCTATGGCAGTCACATGCAATTACTCCACGTTCATTCGATGAGGGGCCTTAGGAGCGTTGGCGTCGGGACTGCTTGATGGGTTGTTGGGTTGGCTTGCACCTCCTGTGACTGACTGCTTCAGATTCCCTGGAAAACAACGATTAAACTCTTGCAGTTGCGTTGCCAACAGTGGATTCACATTCAGATTCTGATCAGTGCCAGGTCCCAGTACATCCGAGCACCAAGCTTCGGCTGGATCTGGGCAAGACAGGGGATTCGGCGACGACTAGCTCACCTTCTTCCGCTTCTTCTGCTTGCTCCAAATGCTCACCGGGCAATGGCAGGATTGCAGAAAACTTGGGTGTCTCGCCACCCTCGGAACCTAAGTCAAGTGTTAGTGATTGGCCATGCATATGCATACTAATGCTTCGCACCAAAAACGGGGGGTGGATGTGAGAACACCACGTTCCAGTCAACTCCATAAAGGTGGCTGTCACATGATGAAAGTTCATCAATTAATTCACAAACTCCGTAGCCCACGCTTTCCATGCGCAGCCCCAGCACGGTGGCCGTGTGCAAGAACTGGGAATGCTCACGCCCATCTGAGTTGTTGGATCTGGCCGACGCTGCGGGCTCGGCGAGGATCGAGCATTCATCATCTTCTGCGTTCTCCGCGTGCTCACACTGCAAGGGCAAAATGACAGAAAACATGCGTTGCTTATCCTCCTCAGAACCTAAGTCAGGCGCGTTGACATGTACCTAATGGCCAAAGGTACCCTCAGTCAAACAAATGCAAATGGAGGACCTGTCAAAAGTAATGTGATGTCATGTGACTTCCTGTGGTGTTGTAGCAGCTATTAGACTTTTGCTAGCATTCTGTTTCTTGGGAAGGCCCAGTTGAATACATTGTGACGGGGGTGAACAAGCAACAGGATGAAAAAGAAACATTCACCGTCCAAAAGTTCAGTGACCCACACTTTCCGCGCGTTGGTGTGACCCACCCGTGGCACGCTTTGGCGACCGGGATGGTCCGCACAGCTCTGAGTTTCTTCCGGTCGATGCAGGGGATGAAGCGCGGTGGAAACCTTCTGCTTTCTCCAAGTGCTCGCCCGGCACGGGCAAAAGGGTCGAACACGGCACGGGTGTCTTGCCATTGGAACCTAAGCCAGGATCAGTCCGGTGTGTCGCTTGGGCAAGCTTAGAACTAACTACACACTGGATAAATGTGGATCAACAAGCTGGGTCCAGCCTGGTCCACCATTGGCCGACCTCACGACCTCCCGGCTGGGTCAACCAGTCGGTCTCCTGGTTCCATGACCCAGCATATATTCCAATGGAACTACATGAAGATCGTGTACTGTATGTTTCGACCAAACCTTTTTCAGGGTGGCTCGGGAACACATGCGACAAGTGGGTCTGTCCTGAATCCAATAACGGAAGTATGTCGATTTATTGCCCTCAAAGGCCTTCGGTCTCGTTCACTACGTTTCCGTGCTTAATTTCAGCGTGTCTCTTTGAGATATGCTGCCCCGTCCCATGGCACCCCCCCAAAAAGAAATATGGAAAAAGTAAACGCACGGATCGGGCCAAATGCTGGACTCGTGCCCACCCCCACCCCAGTCACAGTGATGCCGTTCGGCAGGTTCATGCGCAAGACAACATCTCGGACTCATCACAGGGCTGAAGAGTTCTCAACAAACATTCCATTTCGGTGCGGTATCAACATGCCTCCTTAAATAGTGGACGACTCTGCGAAAGACCTGATGGTTTGGGACTGGCATCATGTGCTTCTATGAGGCAGGATCTATTTTAAAAACAACCCCGCCATGGGTTATGAAACAAAGATGGATGGCCGGCATATCAAGAGGTGATAGGACTATATACAGTAGGACTATAAATGACATTTAGACTTTCCGTGACGTTCCAACAGTTTCTCACTGTTTGGAAAGGCAATGTTGATCTACCTACTCAGCAAAGGTGGTGGTCAACGAGATCAAAACATAGCAAACCTCATCCATCCATCAGTTCAGGGACTCACAGCTTCCACGTGCAGCCCCAGTTCTATGCCTGGTGCGTTTTGCCACGACTGGGACCGGTGCACGTGGACTCGTCGAAAGCCATCGGCATCCAACTCATCCAAGCGTCATGCACTCCCCGGTTCGGTGACTCGCAGGTCCAAACTCAGCAAGCATCCTGCGCAGCGGATCCAACCAAAACCGAACGATCAAATGTCGCCCGCTGACGCGCAAATGTCCTGAGCATCTCCATTTGGGGCTGTGGAAAATTACGTTGAAACGGGGTCAATGCAAAACAACCAACGTACATGGAGTGTCTCGGTACGGTAGGAAAGCTTCTTTGTATGTCTTTTTGCTATAAGCAGTCTGGCCAAGAACTCAAAATTGCTTTCCTGGAGTCCTGGATTGGTGAACAAATCACGCAAAGGCATGACAAGAAACTTCATGAACTCAACACTTCGTGACAAAGTCCCCAAAGATCCCAACTGAAACTTCACCTCCAGCAGGAGCACTCAATAAAAACAGAAAATGTTTACTGTGTCTGGGTTAGGATGAATATGTTTGCTTGATATGTGTCTTGCATTTTTCTGGGAGTGCTTTAGAAGCATCAAGAGCAGCAGAAGGGTCAGGAGAAGAAGCAGGAGAGCGAGCGGGAGGGAGAGAGCGAGACAGTGACAAAGGGGAGGGAGAAGAAAAAACATGAGAAGGCAAAGGAGGATGAGCCGTGAGGAAAGAGGAGACAGAAATACTAGGCACCGTCTAAACGTCCAAGGAAAAGTGGAAGAGCAAAGCAGGAGAGCGACCGGGAGGAAAAGAGAAAGAGAGGGAGAAAGGGCGGGAGAAAAAGCAGCGCAGAAAGTCATGGGGCAGCAGAAGTGTAAGGAGACGAAGCCAGGGAGAGAGACAGAGAGAGAGAGAGAGAGAGAAAGAAAACGAAGGAGAAGGAGCAGTGAGGAAAGAGTAGAGAAACTTTGCGGCTGGCTTAGGGTTTCACTTGTCTTTAGGGTTTCTTTGAGCTTTTAACTTTTCCGGTGGAACGGCACCTTCCTGCTCAAAATTCATCTAAATTCTACCCTCGGGTGGCTCACAAAAGGTCTGCTATGTTGGAAGGGCTCCCTCCTCCTCTAAAGTTAATCCTTGGGTGCCTCACAAAAGGCCTGCGACGTTGGAATGGCTCCTTTCTCGGAGACCTCACAAAAGGTCTGCTATACGTTGAACAAACCGAATGCAAAAGCAGTAGGAAAAACAGAAGCAATAGCAAATGCAAAGACACATCCTGAACAAAAACCCTAGAAAATGCAATTAACAAAGCTAAGAGAAAAACTCAGAAAAAAACGGTTCCTTTCAGTTATGTGCTCCAAATGAGCTGAAGCACACCGCAAACTTTTTGCTCGAAGAGGCCTGTAGTGGCCAAAATTGAAGATGAATGTGCTGCCTGTATGAGCAAAACAGGGGGAACGGAACTTGATTTGCAAACCTCGCCAACCTACTAAGACCGGAAAACTCAAGCTTGTAGAACAAGAAGCTAGTAGAAACAAGTGCATCGGTAGTAGTAACAGGTGCCTTACTAGTAGTAACAAGGAAAACTCAACCAGTCACCAGTCGCCCTGTCCTAGAGTTCCTCGACGCGACGAGACGGACGATGCGACCCGAGAGCTCCTTGAGAGTTCCTCGACGCCTTCTGCACCTCGTGCTCCACGAACTCCGAGATCACCGGGCTCGTGGGAAGCAGCTCGCGAAGGACGATGTGATCTTCCAGGTACTCCACGAGGAGCATGGCAATCAAGGCCTAGTTCTCCAAAGAAGAACTTCTGAAATTCAATAGAAGTCCCTAGTGAAGCACCTCAAATCCCAACTGAATTCCCTCGAATCGCTACCAGTGATTGAATAATCTGATCCCAATTCAGAATGGTTCAGACTGTGGCAGGACTGAGGCACCAAAGCTGCGGACATGTTGAAGGCTGCAGCCCTGGAAGATGACAAGGAGATCTCCTGAAAGAGTACCGCGCGCGCGGCCACAAGTGCTAAAACCACAATGAATCGGAAGTAGCCCGCATAGATCTTCATCTCATCATGGAGCTTGTTCCAAGCCTGGGAGAGGTGTTTTCTCCCAAAGACATTTCCGGGAGGGGGGTAGGAACACATGCTAAATACGCTGGCCGAAGAAATGACTGGAAACACTCCGCGCCGTGGAATCGAGTTTTCTGTGCAAACGCTCCATCTGAAAAAGAATCCGGCAGGCTGTGGAAGTGCACTTTTTCACCAATTTTTGAGCTCTACTAAGTTATCTGACATGTCTGCCTTCATCTGCTCGTTTTGGCTTAACACAAGTATCTCCTCAAGTATACTCATTGAATATTAATGTCTATATTTCTTTAAATAGGTATCCCAAGAATTCCTAAAATCACCTAATATTACAAATTAATGTATATTTAAGCATATATTCAATGAATTTAAGAAAACTCATGAATATAGAAGTTACGACCATAAGATAATTTCATTGGGGCATGAAGAAAGCCCTAACCAAATATGCTATCAAAAAAAGCTAATGGGCTTAAAACCGCGCGTGTAGTGAAACTGATTTTTCATACAGTCCTTTGGGGGGGCAAGAACACACACAAACACACGCGTTGGAATATAGAAGCTGGGGACACGGGGGGGTTAGGGGGGAGGGGGGGTTGGGTGGGGGGTAGTGATGTTCATGTTGTGTGCATTGTAATTAAGGAAGCCACACACGCACACGCTGTGAAAGAGGGGGTGGGGGGGTTGGGTAGGGGGCTAAAGACGTTGCATGTTCAGTGCATCATAGAATCATAGTGCATACGTTGATAAAGCCAGACATGCACAACAGGTCGGTACGCACAGGTGGTCGGGGTGTGTCAGTTCTTCTGTTAGACGTCGACGCATGGAAACTTGGCGTCAGGAGAGCTGCTCATCCACACCGGTTGCATTGATGGTATGTGGCGTTTGTGTAAGGAGTCGGTCCCCACTAGCTTGCGTTCACGTGAAGGTGACGGTATAAACCCAAACATCATGAAGTTCATTTGACAGTGGCAATGGCGCTGGCACCAGAATAAAGAAGATCTTCTGACGAAGCTGGGTCAGAAAGGCTTATCAATGATACTACAACATCAAAAATCATTACTTGTAGAATTTATTTTAAATAATCATAAATATGAAACTCAACATAAGATCGGAAGCGTTATTTATATAGTAAGCCTAATGTTAATGATGGTGAATATTTTGATGGTGATATAGGTGAGTCTGAGATTCTTCATAATTTACCATCCACAAGATTGAACATTCATAATGAAGATGACTTGAAAAAAGCTTTAGAAGATAGTGTAAAAGAAATACTACTTCAAATAGAACAGATTGAGGCTTCAAGGTCAAATCTAAATGTTTAAAATATAGTTTCTATTACCATCCATTATGATAGATATAATCCACCTAGGGCAGTCAAATATATAGAGTTACCTAATCTTGTTAAGTCACAAAGGCTTGTATCAAAAAAAACACTATAACACATGTTTAACGTATTGTATTCAATCAGTAGTTTTTGATAAGATTAATAAACATCACCCAGAAGAAATGTTTCATTATAACAAATTGAAGGATGACATCATCAATTGGGAAGGTGTCAATTTACCAGCAGGTAATAGAGATATTGACAGGCTTGAAGTGAACAATGATGGTTTAATTTCAGTATAAATTCAAAATTCAATTTTGACTTTTAATGATGATATGCTTTAATAAGAAGTTTGAGTAGGTTATTAAATTGTCAATTGAATAAAGATAACAATAAAACACATATCTGCGGGTATTGTTCTCACTCATTGTGTAAAAAAAGAGGGCTTGGAAGAACATCATAAAAGGGGTTGTTTAGCAATTGCGGGGCAACAATTCAAACTACCCCCTGAAGGTTCTTTTATTGAATTTGAAAAGTATAATACTAAATTAGAATGTCCGTTTGCTATTTATGGAGATTTTGAATGTCTGACTGTGACTTCTTCTGATGGGATTAAGGGCACATGTCAAGAGCATAAACCTTGCGGTTATATATATATATATATGTGTTGAATGTGGTGAATAGAATTGACAAAACATCCACACCTTATCAGTATAGGGGTGAGGATTGTATGGATACATTTATAGAACAATTGGGTAATATCAAATCTGATATCACTGAAAAATGAATGTTAATAAACCAATGGTTATTAGTGAAGAAGAATAATTAGAATTCAGAAATGCTACAAGGTGCTCTATTTGTAAGAAAATCGTTGATGAATGTGGTGAAAAAAGTTAGAGATGCCAAAACACAAAATAAAAACACAAATAACCAACTCTTCAGAAGTCTTGTCTTGGGGTTGGGGTGGGTGTCCAAAAACAAAAAACAATCCTAGAAGACTCTTTGGTGAGTAAATCCAAAAACAAAGAAATAACAAGTGCTGGGAGGTCTTGGGCTGGGGGGGGGGTTCCAAAGGCTCTGTCAGGATTGTTTTTTTGGTTTAATCACCAAAAAGAGTCTTCTAGGATTGTTTTTTGTTGTGTGTTGTTTGGTTTTTCAAGTCCTATGCATTTTTTCAGAGTACAGCAGTTGAGATGTCCTTGGCAGTACTGGTGCTGTGAATTGATCTCAGTAGATCCTTAAAATCTACTAAAAAATGCACCTCCAGATCACTCAAAATAGATGAAAAAGTGCACTTCCAGGGCCTGCCGTTCTGAAAATGGGTGGGCCGAAACCTGGAGCCCGTTGCGCCAAGGGTAGGTGGACCTCCGTAGTCCATCATGTTCATTCTCTGGTCAACCCAGGATCCGCCCGGTGCCATTAGTCAATGCCAAAACACAGTTGGAGCCAACATCCACATCGCGCGCTTGGAGCCACCAATCTTCCTCACTAGCACATAGCATCCATAGCGCATCCAGCCAGATCGCACCAGAATGTTCAGCGACAGTGTCACCGCCAAGCTAGCCACCCAACCATAGTCACCCGTGCTCACTGCGCCCGAGAAGACCGCTGCCAGCCGTGCAGCCTCCGAAAAGGCGTGTGCTGAACACATCATGTAGGGCATGGCAACCCAAGAGATGTCCCCTGGTACCATTGGACGCTTTTGAACCACCAGCTTGGCATACAAGATCTTGGTGTACATCACACCTCCAGTTTCGACTACAGCTGTGCAAACGGGCAAAAAGAAGGAGGCGAGGACGGGCTGGCTCACTAGGAGCAATCGGTAGGCGACAACAATGACGGCCAAAATCGCAGAGATGCCTACTGTTCCGGCCAACTGTGCGATGGTCCACACCAAGCAGGGCAGGAGACGGCGTGCAGGATGCTGCTGCTGTGTTTGGTAGTACTGCAAAGTGGGGCCAAAGAGAAAGAGAATGCTTAAACCAAAGAGCGAGAGGGGGAAGTCCGCCAGTTGGACCCAAGTGCCCATAGGTAGCATGGGTGGAATGGCCATGCAAATGGGCACCAGCTTCTGAAGGCCGGTGCTGCCCACTTCACCAGAAAGACTGGCAGCCCAGGTATGGAACAGCCCCCAAACGCAAAAGACGGCACCGTTGAAGGCCACTAAGACTCCCCGCCACCATGGTGGCCCCAGGTGGCCGGGAAGAGCTGCAGCTTGCTCCAAATGTATGGAGATCCCCCATCGAAGGACGTGCCACAGGAAGAGCAAGGCCATCCTTGGCGTACTTTTGCACACGTCAATCACAATAAACGCGTGGTGTTGTTTCAAACTACAGGAAAACCTTCGCTGTGCCGCCAATGTATACTCAATGATATGAAGAGCATATCCACTTCATATATGTCCTTTACATTATCATGGTTTCGGTTACCTTGGATTTCTCTTGTGATAGCCAACATCACAAATATTATACTTATAAGCAAATATATATATTATATATATACATATAAGTATATTCATAAGTTACATGTCTATCCCCTCCTTTTTTAGCCACAAGCATACATACCGGATCAATCCGGCAAACCACCTGCACCAGGAGCACTCTCTTCTCTGACGCTCTACCACTATAGTGGCATTTCTCGTCATTTCTCAGGTACGGTCGGGTACACTAGGCCTTCTGTATTCTACCATACTTGGACCCTTCGGTCGAGTTCCTGCATCGTAGGACCTGGTGGCCCGATGTGTCCGGTGTTTTGTCGCCAAGCAAAAGAGTTTTAAACAACATGAGACAAAGTGCAGGTGCAGTACAGGATCCCAGGTCTTGTTTGGGGGGAATTGGATGGCCGGAACACTTGATTCCTTTCAGACGGAACCTCTTGTGGGGAGAGCCTCAAAGTCTGACTCCCTTGGGTGATCCTTGGGTGATCCATCATCAAGTAAAGGACACACACACACACACCCACACCAGGCAGGGGTTTCAGTTCGAAAGGACTCGACACCGACACCGACACGACTCTGGCGCCCCACCGCCCGGCTGGCCCCGCTGGCCCCGGTCGACCGAGCTTCGAGCTCAGCACGTAGCGCCACGAGAAGGTGCCAGAGGCTCGGAGCTCGGGATCTTCCACCTTCAGCCGATGGAGCGATGCTCGCAGGTCCCACAAAAGAGGGCGATCGGTCTGGGGTTCGGGCGGCGGCCGAGCTCAGCAAGCGTCGGTCGGAGAGAGGCGACCCGTTTTGGATGGGGCGATTCTGATCCGAGGGGGTGAAGTGAAGTGAAGATGGTGATGGATGGCCTGAGAGTTGGGATGGCCTGTGAGTTAGGAAGCTCAGAGCGGCCCCGTTTCTGAGCCCCCGGTAGGCCATGTCTCATATCACTCACGTGAGAAGACGATGGACTTGGTGCATCTTGGCACGAGATCTTTGCAGCTTGCCTTTTAAGAAGAAGGACCTCGGAGGCATTTCTGCTTTCAACAGCAGGCGTGTCCGCATGTCCTCTCTGCCGTCTTGAGGATACCTTCCACCAGACCATGGAGGAAGATCTCACGGTGTGTGCGGTAGCTTGCCCACAAGGTGTCTTATGAGCAAGCCCTGTCGCGACTATGATGACTGATGCTGCACAGTGTGGCATTTCGACGATGCCTGTATATAGACCATCAACATGCGCAAACATGTGTGATACCCCAAAACCGATGCTGGGGTGACCTCCCCGGGGAGGTCTGTTCTCGTCGGTCTACCAGCGTTGAGGAGGTGCTGACCCATGGATACCCATGGTGTAATGGATGTTGAATGGATCTAGAAATTGTGAAATCGCATGACATCCATCGAACATCCAATGAACTTGGGTGAACTCAGTATTTCTCATCCAACCCCAAATGTGCTGACAATCTACACTCCTAGTGGAGTCTTTCTTTGAACTCCTGAGGAATGCCGGACTGGAGAAGCCCGCCTGAACATCCATTGATGTTGCGGTGGTCATATCAGGCTTCCAAATCACGTGCCCGGACATCTCCTTAGCAACGCTATATTGGTTGTGGGGGCTAAGCTGGGCTGGGGTGTTCGTCTATCTAAATCTATCACGACAATGCCTATAGAAAAACACGCAGGCTGCAGGTGTCGGGAATGCCGACACGCAGGCACTTCCTGACTCCAGTGGTTTGCACTACCAGGTCTATGGAATTCTTTGGGAATCTTATAAGGGAGGTGTGTTTATAAATTGTATTCTGACCACGTGGGTGCCTCCAGTATCGGAGGTCGATCTGGTGATCTCCATTCAAAACACCCGTTGGAGACTGCTGTAACAAAGACCCTGGAGTCACCCTGCGTTTTGCTTCGCTCAACCTGCAAAAGCCCAAAGAAGGAGGAGCCCTGAACACTCGTCCAGGCGTCCGCAAGAATTCGACCGTTCTCAACCAGCTGTACCAAACGCGTGTCTTCGCCATAGATGTACAAGGTTTGGTTCGGTGCCACCTCCACGCAATCAGGGCCTGATGTGGTCCAGTAGGTCCTGCATGTTCGAAGTTGAGCATCAATAAATATCAATAAATTATCCTAAATCAAAAGCAACCTCACTCTTTTCGTCCTCCAAATTCACTTCAAAGTCACACCTTCCATACAAACAAAAGAGCTCAACATCTGGAAAATATAATGACGGCACACTAATGAATCATGAAGTCAAACACACACTTGAGAAGGTTGCTCCGTGGAGCGTGATTTCAGGTAGCTTCGCGGTGTGCATTAGCCCTTTAGGTGAATACTTAGCACTTGACTTGATTCAACGGAAAGAAGTGCTGAGTCCGCTCACTTGAATGTTTCAACAAGATGCATTAGCTCTTTAATGTATATTAAAAATTTGCAGGTACACAATGTGGCGTCCCACATTGCTTCACCACGAGCTGACAGTGTCTTCGTTGGGTAGTGTCTGTCAGTCGTGCACTACCCCCCCTGCTTCTGTACAGAAACGCTTGTAGGATAGATTAGAAAAACTAGGGTAGTGTCCTTGGAAACAGGAGTGGACACACACACACACACACTCCCAAAAAACAATCATTCCCAACAAAACAAACATGTTCTCCTGAAGGAAGGCCCCAAGTTCCGTCCAAAGCTGGAAGGCTTCAGGTCACAGGGAGGTTGCCAAGCAAAAACCACCTCCTCCATCCCCTCTTCTCTCCTCACCTACAAGCCACGGAAAAGGGGGGTACCAGGCACATCTGTTCTTCATGCTGGAGGGGGCACCTGGATTTCGGGGAAACTCTGAGCTGGGTACAAAGTGTTCATTCATTTCGTGGGTGACACACTTCTTCAATCCTTTCTCATTAGATGCCCTCAAGGGCCAAGGGCCTATGGAAACCCAGCTGGCTCCCAATCATTCACTGTAAGATCCCTGAGAAAGCTGGCAAAATCCCAGAGAAAATGTTCAGCACTCTTGTTGTTTTTGGGTCGCAAAATTAAAATGAGCCTGTGCCCAAGCTTTTGGGTGCTAGTGGTGTGGGTTTGCCTTCGGTAATTTGAGGTGAATGTTGGAGTTTGATTGTTCTTTTTTTGTGGGTTATCTATGGGCCTGATGATTTCCCACGCTAAACTACCAAAACACCAAACAAATCTAACCAAATCCCAACCAAATCACCAAAATGGGCTGGGATTTGAAACTAAAATCCAATTGAAACCAACCTCACCCCACTCAAACCCCCAATCAAACCTCAACCAAATCCCAGACATGGGCTGGTGTTAACAAACAAAAACATGGGTTCAATTCTTCTTCCAGGTTTCATTGTGTTTAAGTGGGATTTTTTGTGGAGTCATCTTTCAGTCAAGAAAGCCTCCAACAAGCAGACTCCACAAGCCACCTTAAGACATTCTCCTCTCTGACGATGTTCTTGTTCCACAGATTGTTCTTCCACAAGAATAAACACCAATATGGGTCATGGGGGAACGAGCTTTCCATCACCTCTCCCACAAACTGGAGACGGAGGGTGGTCATCTTCGGAACCGATTGGTTGGAGATAATCAGAACACTTCAAAACCTAGCATAATTAACTAAGATCCCGAGACTTGCCAAGAAAACTATGCGAGTTCAAGGTATTATAGTACTTATTGTAGTATAGTAAACTACCTTAATTGAGATTCAGATATCGTTGTCAGATAGACCCCAAACGCTTTTCTTCAAACACACTGCTCCAGGCACCTGCTCATCTGGCACCAAGAAATGCACGAGGCGGCCACCGGCGGCCCACCGACGCTGGGCCAGGACTTCTTCTGCCTCACCTCCATCGCCCACGATGATGAGGCAATGATCCCGCAGGCGTCCAAGGGACGCAGGCGGCATGCGCAACAATAAGTTTGCACAATGTGCTGTTTATTGATTTGTTTCCGAAAATTGGATCGAAGCTCGATCTTGATTTCACACGGTTCTATCGGCTGATACAAAACCAAAGATCTGCTGAAATTGAGGTGGGATTGCTTGAATTCACTCCATTCCCACATCCTCTTGCGGGTCCACAAGCTAAGTTCACAAGGACACATAGATCCGCCCGGATCGGGGACCTGACTGAGCCCTATAACCGCGAATCGCTTGGGCAACGCCCAAATCAACCGCAAAGCCACTTGATTTAGGGCGTGTTGCGAGTGTGAAGGTGGAATTGGTCTTAATCGTGTTATTCCTTCAAGACTGGGGACTCCAGGTTATAGATTGCGAGTCACTGATTTCCCGACGTCGGCCGATGTCTTCCCGCACTACATATATAGCTAGTCAGTTCACTGTCCACACTGCTTATGAGGACGAGTTGAGGTAAGCACCAGCAAATGTATGGCAACAACTTTTGTTCAGTGAATAAAGGGACAGTTCAGAAAACAAAAAAAAATAACACCCAGCAATTCCAGGGAGAACTGTATTAAAATCGGGTGTGTAGAACTAAATAGGGAGACCTCAAAAAAAACCGTCCAAATTGGAAGGAGAACACGTCCTTCCTCCACAAAACACGTCCGCTGATGAACCCTTCACCGCTTCATCGGTGACGAGTCAAGTCATCCACCCGACCGGTGACCACGCACACCGACCGCAGACCAAAACAGGTCACCGTCGCCTAACACGGTGCGCTGACAGGTAGGCAGCGCCTGAGTGTCAAGGTAAGTGGTAATGCAAATAAAATAGACTATATACTATACAACTTATATTGGCAAATGGCTATACAACTTACAGACGTGGTATTGACAAATATATTGACTATAAGTTGTATAGCCCTGGTATAGCGATAAAACCTTCGACATTCTATACTACCATCTCTATATCTCTTAGCGGATCGTTCCACACATCACCGTCGTCTTGCGCCTGCTGGAGGGGTTCTAACCACGGCATCACCAAGATCACCTCATGACCTCTCCTGCGGCGCTGCGGTCATGCGAGCGTCGACGTGGGAGAGGATCCACCTTCTCAGATAGGAATATGGAATATGTCCGTGACAAATCTGAGGGGTTCGCGAACCAACGAAGGTTCCGTACCAACTGCTGACTTCTTCATGTTAGGACTTTTGCGGATGTCTCCAAGTGGAACGCAACGCCTCGCCAAAGCCAGGCTCCGCAGCAGCGGGTTAATGGCCGGCCCAGTCCTCGGTCGGACTTCAAGACTGACGTCTCGAGGTGGGCAGACCGCGTTACTCGGACCTTGAGGCCAAAGTATATAGACCTCTGACCTCTTCTGCGTTGATTTAGCACTTGCTATAGCACAGATCTGATACGTTTTAAGTATCACGTGGGACTATTGAAAATTGGCTGCCACTTCCAAGGAAATATATGTCAACACATTGAGTGGATCAATGTGGATCAACTTACCGAAAAACAAACCAGGATCAATACCTGGACCCTCCAACAGGTCTCCTAAAATGGAGAGCTGTAAATGTAGACTTAAAAGTGTCAGGCGGTGCTGGTACATATATATATATATTATATATATAGTATAATATATACTTGGAGCAAGGACGCCACACACCATGCGTTTCACCTCACCACCGAAGCGTGAATGCACAAAACCGCGCGAGGAAGCGTCCGTCGATTCGGTCAACGCGAGGAAGCGCCCAGCGGTGGAAGCGAGGGAAGACGACCGGAGGCAGCGTTGAAAGAGGTTTTGACGACACGAAAACCCAAAGATGCCTCGAACAGATTGGGATTTCATATAAAAACAGTTGAACTACCGAACTTCGGGGTGTCACTTGTGCCATCTATTCTGAAACCATTGTCCAATCCGCACCCCAAACACTACTTGGGTCCCAAAGCATCCCCCACCAACTCACTGAGACATCGCACGTCCACGGTAAGGCCGCGGTGGTGATCACGGTGATCTTCCTGCTGCGTCCGGTGCTCGACACACGGTGCTCGACCGAGACTGAATGGCAAAGAATGACCTGCAAAATGTGATGAGTGTCTTCTCCAGTGTTGACAGGTTGGGAAGCCTTGTAGAAGTCTACAACTGCAATAAGTAAACAGTCAAACTGTTCATTGCAGGTCCACGATGACCGACCCAAATCAAACCTACTTCCGTTTTCTTCGTCGGTCTCATGTTTGAACAGTCGGGGACGGGATGGGCACCAAAAACACACCTCAGCTTTCTTGCACGGAACATGAACAGAGTTATCAGCGGGATGCTGATCTCCAGCACCAAAGGTTTGCTATCTGCTATTGGATGGTCCCACCGATGGTTTTGTTCAGCCACCCGACCTGGGTGGTGGCGGTCATCTTGCGGTGTCCTTTTCACCCACTTGCGAGAAAGTTGTAGGTGTCACTTCAAGTGTGAGCAACCCTTTTCTCCACCACATACATAGCACAAACAGGGACAAACATAAACAAAGTGTACATCAAATAGCTGCCTTTCTTAAATGTTCTTAACATTGCTTTGTAAAACTTTGTAAATCTCTCTACAATATATTCAAATTGATTTGACTGTTCATCGACAGAATGTGACTTCAAGAGTGCACCCCGGGAAATACTCACCTAAAAGCTCCAGAAGAACCTGAACATAGACCCACTGGCTTTCTTTATATAATCAAATATGCGAAGCCATGCAAAGCCTCAGCGTCAGACCAACAAAAAAAAGTTCCTTTTCAACGTTCACCTACCCTTTTTTCTTCCGCCTCTGATGTCCACACTTCCGTTCTGATTCTATATTTGCCTATAACCCAAACACTCCATTTCATGGAAACATGTTCATACCTTGGTCTGGTTGAACCATCTGTGATTGGGTCAATCTGCCAGTCCACATGGCTCGTGGTCTTTGTCCTCCCTTTCTGGTCCAGCTGAGTCCCGTCTCGGCACCACGGAGACCACTCCACCAGTCGCACCCACCCGCCTGGGCTTGCTCCGGAGGTCTGAGGCCTCCGTGCACCTGCGATCGCAGCGCTCCACCGGGGACGAGGGTCCGGTCCGCGGTTTTCGTGTCAACGCGCTCGGCGCCGCAGCAATGGAGTTTGATTAAGACAAGGAGTTGGCTTTTTTGACGGATGGAGAGGAATGAAGGTCATCTGTTGCCGGGAGACAAATGGTCTTGACTTGCAGGTGTCTGGAATATGGAGGGGAGGCTCTATATAGAAATATATATAGTCAATTTGGGTGATTTGATAAGAACCTGAATGTTCAGTGCCCATGTCGTCAAAGTCCTGTTTATCACAAATGAATTGCGGGACATAATGCGACATGACATGCCTTTTCTGATGTTCACATTTTTCTTGCCCTCTGGTAGAAGGGAGTACATTGAGTACATGAAGCGTTGAACCTGACAATGTTGTGATGGATTGAACGGCATCCAATTAGCCCGAAGACAAGGAGGGTAAACAAAGACTTCGCGGACCAGTGAAAAGCCACTTCAACTTGGACACAGCTAGCAATCTCTATGAGTTTAGCATATGGCATAGCAAACCATGCAGTTCTCTAAACCTCTGAATGACTCTAGCTAGCAACTTGAGCCAACTCGTATCCTTTTTGGTACAAAGCACAGGGACCAACACACCAGACTTCAAGCTCTCTCTCTCTCTCTGAACCTTTTGGAACACAAACGTCACATCGTATAGCTGGCACCAGTCGCACCAGTTCTCCGGTGGGGTCGCCCAAGCAAAACCGCGGGAGTTCGCCCGCTTCGCCCGCTTCGCCCGCCTGGGGAAAGGCCCCAAGGAGTAGATCGGAAGGCCTTTTTGGGCTTCCTGAGGGGGCCGAGAGTCGGAGGCCATGCTTTTCAGCGTGGTGGTGTCGGGGTCTTCGACTGGGTGTTCCCCACAAGGCTATACCTTAAGTCCCATAGATCCTCCAAATGGCTTCACCTTGGAGTCCGGTCCAAAGCATCCAATTGGCACATGTATCACATGTCGTACGAACTTGACCATGGAACTTGATTGAGAGAATGAGACACCGTGCACCTGGTAAGTGCAACATAGAATCTGCACAAAAAGAGATCCAACACCTCTGTCTTTGTAGGAATTTGTCTTGCAGTGATCCATTCTTCAGATTCTATGTGTGTGTTTTTCCTGGCCAGGTGCTGGCTTTTTTGCTTCTTGCTGGCTATCACCCAGTATGCCTGTATGCGAAGCTTGGAAGCATTCTACTTTGGGAGAACTTGCCACATTCGATGGGCAGTTCCAAAGGATTGTGGTGTGTTCGTATGACGTTCTGGGAGCCCAGCTGTCGCCTCTTGGTAGGTACAGCTGCTCTGCTCTTCTCCAGTCCCGCACGGGTCCCACGGGTCTGGGTCTCCACACCAAAGGGGTTCGCCCCAACTGCTGCACGATGCTGGCTTCACCTTCTTCCGTTTTGGGGCTCGAGAGCAATGAGCCGATGACCTCACCGCAGGATCTCGACCGCGACCAAAACGACGACCAAAATCTCGCGGGACACTTCAGAAGGCAGGGGGTTATTGTCGGTCGGTTATTTTTTGCGGGAACGGAGGTCGGTCTCCAGTGGATAGTTGCCAACTGGGTGGGAAAACTGTTAGGATTCATTCAAAGGTTCTAGTTTATATAGGTATTTTTTGTGATGTTCTGTGTCAATTCCATAGGTTCACGCTAGGGCCGCTAGGAAGCTGCAGTTCCAAGGAATCAACCGTCGGTCACAATCAGTTGGTCACGACCAGGTCCATCGTCTACAGAGCAACAGCCGAGCCGAGCGACCAGCACTGGAGGTGACAGTCACCGATCATGCCAAAAGCCCAGGTATTTAGCAGACAACTCTTGTGGACAACTGGTGCTGTTGAGACTTTGCAGCCATGGATGGTCACTTTGTTTGGCACTCAGTGGTGAGTCTTCCAGATTCTTCCAGATTCCCCTGCTTCTTTGGTTGGTGACAACCTTCTTTACTGCTTCGGTGCTGAATCTCCACCCAAGCGACGCCAGAGATGAACGCGATCGCAGACGTGATGGGGTTCTGGTCCTCCGTCTCCTGCCACTTGGAACCCCATATGAGAAGAGGTCTTAGCGCATCCAAAATGAGGAGGGAGCCCTCGTCCACATCCACCCAAAAGGGCTCAAAGGACTGAAAGTTGACGATGACGGGAGAGTCTACCGATGTCACCAATGAGCGTTGGCGGCGGTCTATTTCGGGAAGTAAGGTCGAACAGGAAGCTTAAAGGAATTGCTTTGTTGAAACTATAGTACACATATCACTCCCGGAAATAAACATGGAAGTGGATGGAGCCACCTGTCAGGTAGAGGAATAGTCATCCAAGGGGCCATGCCATCCACATCCATGATTGTTTCACGGCAACATCACCATGCTATATGTATACGTCTATATATATGCCTAAGAAGCTTCCCAACTGTGAGTGATGTTGAACATCCCTCTAATACATATATATATATATATACATATATGTCCAATAAATACTGAACAAACACAACACGTGATGCCATCCGAACCTCCGTCCAGTCTGTGCAAGCGCGCCCTCGAGGGCGTTCTCAGTTTTTAGCCCTCAGCGTTCTCCAAATTCTGTCGCCCGTGGGATTCTGTCGCTTGGTGTTGCTCCTTTATCAACCAGCCTGGACTCTTCCCCTAAACAAAAACAACGAGCGTCCAAACGCCAGTAATGAGTGGACAGTTCTGAGTCGTGTTTCCAGGTCTAGCAGGTGGACAATGTAAAGCCAGCGAACTTCTGGAGGTGACCAGGTGTCAGATATTTGGGTTTTGTCAATCATTGACCATCGTTTTCTGCACGTTCTGAACTTGCTGAATGACATGTCCAAGTCCAACTCATCAAGATTGGTGGAATCTTTAAAATGAAAAATATATTAGTGTGTGTGTGTGAAAACACCTGGACATGATACATCATGCGTACATCATGCACACATCTTCACAACTTCACATAGTGACTGTATCACAGACTTATATATATACATACATTATATGACATATCTGTTATATATATAGTAATATGTGCCATTGTATGCATGTACTATTGACTTCTTATTTTCGCTGACCCACCAGTTCACTCGGTCCATCGCTCCGCTTCACCCACGCAAAGAAAACGGGATCCTCCTGTGCCTTCAAGGCCTGGCACCGCTGGTGAGCGACACCCACGGTGGCCACGGGGTGAAGGGACTTGCTGCTCGGACGCAATGTCTGACTCCCAAGCCGTTTCCCTTGAGAAAAAAAAAGGTCCAACCGAACATTCCAGCTGATCATATTCAGTGGGATGTCTGCAATCCCCCAAAAAAGGTTTTTCAGGTTCTCCACTGACTGGGCAAGATATGATCCATTTAATGCAGACTCTTGACAAAAAAAAAACACACACCCCACACGAAGAGATGTCTCAATCCAAACGCGGCGGTTTATTGATCAATAGGCTACATTGTTTTACTGTGCATTTGTATATGAGCCCTCTATGTGCAACTTCTTATCTTGGTTTTACTAAACGTTGGTAGAATGTCATAGCATCTCCAAACACACGGAGAGCATAAACATGTGCACCAAACCACATTTATTTGCTGACCCCCCCTGGATTGGCCAAACTGTCACTTTGACATCTCTGTATGTATCAAAGTATGTTGATGGTTAATAAGCGCCTCCAAGGGGTATTAAATTACACACCAAATAAGCATTATATAATTATAATAACTTATATGATGATTATAATGCACACCCATGTATACACCAAGGAAAAGATCAAGGGTTGTCCACTTTCACTAGGGTCCATGATCACTTTCACTAGGGTCCATGATGTCATAATATATCATAATATTGTCAATCATAATCCCCACCAAAGCAGTTTCCGAATTCCTGAAAAAAGGTCTGTCAGGTGTCAGGCAGTGTCAGGTGATGTCTCGTATCAATTCTGATGAAATGAGTCTAGTGTTAGTGTGATTAGGTCGTCAGCCTTGGTGGAAATTCTGTCAAAATGAACTGTTCTGGAGAAGGACATGGAGCGTTGAGAGTGATCGTTCCACTGATGTGTGGGGCTTTTCATGGCGATCCAGAGTGACTACCGCCCTCATTCTTCATCACCAAGCCAATCATCCAACAGGATCCACAGGGCGGGTCGATCCATATCAATCCCCATACAGATATACCGAAGTCTTCTTGCAACATATTTTCAGCGACCTCCATAACGTCATCATTTCAGGATGTTCTATGATTCATAATGTTCTAGAGGCTTCTATTTCCCGCATCTGCACAGCCCTTCACCTCACTCAACTGCTCTCATGTTTCTTTCTGTGCCCAAAGATGCAAACCGGCGGCAGAAGCAATCGCGGCTCGGCACAAGCGCAGCACACTGTGCTGATGAGGTTTGTGAAATGTGTCAAAGAGCTGGTAGGTATCGGGCATGGTTGTCTTCAGTATTGTTTGCAAGAAAACTATGTATATGCTGTGGAATCCATCAATATATCCAGCTTGCTGTTGTGGCGTGTTCCGACAGGACAGCTGTGATTATGATTATGAATATTCCTGAATATATCCAAAGATATCCAAAGAGTGTGTTCTCACAACAGGACACCTTCACCCTGGAGTCTAAGGAGGAAGAACTATACTATAGCTAGACTATTTAATGCAACATCATAAGCTTTGCCTCCCTTTGAAAAAAAACAACCAATGCTCCATGCTGTTGAACATCTTCATTCAGCTGACCCGTCGGCCCGGAGCCCTGGGCCCGGAGCTCGGGCGGCCGCGCAAGGGCAGCCTGTTCGGGGGAGCCATGGCGATCTGGTCGACCAGAGCGCCCAGCGCTGGTCGATCTGTCGTGATCTATCAACATCTAGCAACTGCATGCGGTGCACGTTTTGGAGGAGCACATGGGAACAAACATGGGAGCAAGTTGTGTTAAGGACTGTTGAGATGCAAGCGGGAGTCAGGGATCTCAAAAGAATGGCTGGTGAGCAGCCCACTTCTGCTTTTCGTTCAGTCTCTGGATAACATTCAGAACCTGCTTCTTTGGCCCAGTTTCAGGTGAGTGGCGTCCACCCGACAATGACTGAGACTGATTATGAAACAGAAGAAAATGAACAGAACACAAAACCAAGAAAAAATAACAGTAACAGCCAGCAAAGTAGACAAATGTAACAAAAACACCAGGCAAACAAAGCAACCCCGATACCCGTGTCACACCGGGCCCCGGGCCCCAACCACATGCCGATCCAACGATCCCCCAGCTCGCCCGCCTCACAATCGGCTCCGCAGCCGCCGGAAGAGGCGCCAGAGCGGGTCGGCGTCGCGCGCGTCACGGTCCCGAAGTTGGTCGATGCGACGGTGGGCACGCTCAAATTGTTCATTGTGCCTCAGAGGTCTATGAGGCAACCAACCGATGAATGCGACTGCTTCATTGCGCGCCTCTGGCGGGCGCGCTGTGTATCACATGGCGGCGGTTCTGTGTTTGGTGGCGCACGGGAAATCGGTTGAATCAGTCGCCAAATGTCCAGTCCAAATCGTCAAGTTCAAGAAGAGCTATTAAGCACTTGACTGATTTGCTGGAGTTGTACACGACGCACATGGGCACTGTAGTTGTGGATGTTGGTGAAGGTCTCTACTTCCAAAATAGGTGACATTCTTCTACAAATTGATACTCATGACTGGAAATACGGGAAGCACACTATAGGACAAGGCTGGGTGTGTGTTGACGTATTTCCATTCCAGCAGCTGTTGTTGTAGCTCAGTCAGCCGGTCCAAGACGTCCTCGCGGCGCATGGGAACATCTCGGAACATCTATGTTTTGTTCGATGCCCCGGTGAACTACCAGTGAAGCTTGTCACCTCAAAGTATTTAATGAATTTATATGTAAACTTTAAGGCACACAATCAAACAAAAGTTGTAGTAGCCCGCTGGGACACACTACCCACCAAGCTGAAAAGATCCATGTTGATCTTTTGCACAAACTGTAAACTGTACCTTGCGAGGTGCACACTCTGACTCCCAGAGTCTATAGACACTCATGCCATCTCATGCCACATTCGTCTGGCTGACCTCATCCCCCACATCAGCAAACTGAACGAACCGCCTGTCCTCGGCTCCATCCTTCACCCGAGCTTCCAGGCGCCTCCTGATATTCATCACGTCCGACCCGAAGATGTTGCTTTTTTAGACCAGGGGATACAAAATTACAAAAACAAAGAGGAACGCAACGATAAGAAACCAAGACACAACAAATAGAAAAATAGTAGTAATAACATACAAAACAGTTGTAACTTGTGGACGTCCCAGAGAAATGCAGAAAAAAAAGAACGCAATCCCGGCATCCCAATGGATGCCAGGACTCCGGTAAGAAAATGATTGATTGTTTTAATTGCTTGTGGATGCTTTCGGCTTCGTCTGTCAGCCTGCGGGCCCCAAAGAGATTCCCTATGGCTTGTGAGCAGGATGGTCTGGATCAAACTGGATCCGCAATCCCAAGCACTTCAACACTTCCAGGCATCTGGACTTGAAGATCTACCTCGGGGCTTGCTTTCTCTCCTTTTTCTGTTAAACCGTCACTTCTTCCTTGGCCCAGGTCACTCGACTTTCTGAACTCTCATCGTCTGTTGCTCACCCTTGGCATCCATGCCTTGGGACCAGGAGTGCATACGATGCCGTGGTGAACGATGCAGTGAGACGCGGAGGTGCTCGGATGATTGGGGACTCTGCTTGAACAAACATGAAAGTGCATGGCACTCCCCTGTTCCTATAGAGGACAATGATCTAAGAAAGAGGCGTGTGACGTATGTTTCACCGAACCATGTTTCACCGAAGTGCATTCATCTTTCTAACAGCAGCCTAACTAATAGAGCAACAAACGGGGTCAAGACTTCCAAACGGTAACAAATTCACTCCGGCAGCGCCGTCCCTGCTTTTCAGGCTGAGGAAATCTGCTTTTAGCACGCACGGCTTTGCACGTTCTTCGCCGCATGATGGAAGGCCCCTGTTTCATGCAGCTTTGCCATAAAACATGGATTAAACACTGGTTTCCAGCATCAGAGATGTGTTTGAAGTCACAAGGAATCCTGAAGAAGAGAAGCAGAACAGCCCCAAATAAGCAAACCTAAACACATATTGGGATCACACAAAGAAACAGGTTGTTCTTCTTCCCTGTGTTGTAGCTTGTTGCTTGTCCCCTGTTTGTAATTCTTTGCGTCATAAAACCGGTTTCCGGCGAGGCTGAAGAACACATCTAATGGTCCAAACAGGGTCCGGGCATATGATATCAAATGATAATTGTCCGGCGCCGGACTTCCAACTCCGGCGTTCTTCTGGATTTGGTCCGGCAGTTTTTCCCAGTCACTTTATGTGGATTTCCTGGATTTGCATTCTTTGCGGTCCGCATTTCTTTGAAGGTAAATCATCCCCGGTGACTGTAGGGTGGCAGGGTTTGCCCCCCATGTCATAGAGAACTTGGCCCTATAAAATGGGTAGACCAGGCTCCAAACTCTATATAATGCTTAGACTGGCACTTCTATAGAATGCAAGCCATGTTCCAAAGACCTATGTTACAAATACACACATATACACACTACTGATCTATAAAATGCTATCACCAAAGTTCAGCTGACAACCATAAGTCATATGTGTAATTCTCTATGAAATGAAAAACCAAGTTCCAGAGATGTTGCATCCATGCGTACCAGAAACCTCTATAGAATGGATACCAGGTTCTGCGACTCAAAGAGGAAAGTTAATCCAACACGGCCTTCTAAACTTCTATAGAATGGAGGCCAGGTTCTGAGCTGTGAAACTATCAAACAAAAGACAAAAACGTATCTGCGTCGCAGAAGGCCCCATATGGGCTCTATAAAATGGATAAGCATGGATAAGCCAGGATCTAACATCTTCTCGTGGTTAGTGTTGGGCAAGAGACCGGTTTACCCATTTTATAAACAGTTGCTCACACTTGCGCTCTATAAAATGAGTAAGCCAGGATCTAACATCTTCTTGTGGCTAGTGTTGGGTAAGAGACTGGTTTACCCATTTTATAGAAAAGTTGCTGTGCTTACATTGCTCACGCTTTCTTCTCGCATCGTCGCAGGATCTGGATGGATCTGGCAGATTCTGTCAGTCATTTACTGATCAGAAATAAGAGAGAGCGGAACCAACCTGCCAAATCAGAGCGTCGCACTTTCTGCGACACCAGACTTGACCACGTCCCGAATTAAGGTCTGGAGCTTGCTGTGTCCTGGATTCTCGGCTGTAACCTCGTCCAAAATGTTTTTCAAATCTGAGAAAACACGCTCTCCAAATTGAGTGGCTGTACACTTAAAATACTTGCACTCAAAGTATCGAGGAGCTCTCAGCCACAAGGACTTGGCGCAAACATCCTGGCACCCCGTGATCTTGCACCATCCGCTAGAGTCGAACACAGATTTCGCTCCAAAGGCAAACTGCTCCTTCTCTAACAAGCGGCAAACAAATTTGCCGATTTTCTTTTTGCCCAGTAGTGTCTTGCGGAAGTCTTCAGCGTTGACATTCAAGTCAGCCTCAAACTTCTTTGCCTGAGCTGAAGCCTTCAAGGCCTTCTTCGAGACTTTCTGCGCAGCCTGTGAGACAAGATCCGCTGCAGCCTTGGACAAAGCTGGCTTTGCTGAGTGCTTTTCTGAAGATTCCTTCTGCTCGGCGGACTGCTTCCTGATCTTGGTGCGCACCGCCGGAGGAGCATCAATGGAGATTGCGGCCAGCTTCTGGAGGACTTCTGCACTTTCTTCTGTCAAGCTAATGATGTCCATCCCACGACTCACATTGGAACAATCCAGGGTTGCAAAAACGTTCTCTGCCCGAAACAGACCGCAAAAGTCCGTGAACTCCAAGAGCAAGTCATTCTCTGGATTGCACTTGAGACGGGCAGCCCGGAACACGCCCACCAAGTTGAAGGGGACTGCTTGAGCACATGGTTTCGGCTGCACACCTTTTGGCCATAGAGTGAGGATGACGAAGGGCTCCACACTCGCTCCTGGGCCGGTCACCAAGGCCACAATGTTTCCTGTCCTGGTTGGCCAAGGATTGCTGTGGAGACTGTGGCTGCCATTGGCTAACATGTGCCCACATAGTTTCTATAAAATGGTATGGCAAATCTTTCACTACTATACTGGTTTCTCATGCATTTCCAGAAGTGAGTTCCATACATTTCATAGACAAGAAGCAAACCGTCTATAAAATGCCAATATCAAGCATCTGAGTAACCAGTTTGAAAATCCAAGTAAAATATCTAGGAGGATCTAGGAGGCAAAGCAAAAAAGAATATATATATATATATATAATTCTGCAAGGATCTGCAACTTGTCCGGGTCTGCCACGTCTGCAAACTCTGGCTTTTGCTTGGTTGACGAGATCCATTTCGATAGCCTCGAGCCTTTTGTTCCTTCCATCACCTCATCCTCTAGAATCCGAATCTGCTTCAATTCATGCTCAAGCGACCTGTGCTGCAAAAGAATCTCAAAAAAAATACCTTGAACATCCTTGAACATCTATGAGCATCCATAAACATTCATCCAAATATATCCAAAGTCATCCAAATTCTTTTTGAATCTTTTTGACAAAGCTTTAAAAGTCAGAGCGTGATAGAGCGTGTGTTCAAGCAAGATACTGCTGCCAGTTCATTGTTGTTTTCCGTGCGCGCATGGCTTCTGCTGCTTGAACAAACTCTGAGTCCATGCCGTGCTTGCCGCCCCGAAGAAAGATTGCCAGGAGCCATAAATTGGAGAACATGTTGCCCTTGCGAGACCTGAAATGTCATGACGGTGTTCTATAAAATGCAAACCCTGTCCACAATCTTCACATTTTGCTTTGATGTTTGGAATTAAAGGCTCTATAAAATGCCTTGAATATAATCTTACATACTTTTACAAAATTGCATAGTATCTGGGAAGCAGACCGGTGTCTATAAAATGCATCCAACCAAGTTCAACTCTTGTTCCTGCTCGTGCATCTGACCCAAGAGCCACCTCAACTCATTTTATAGATAAATTACGTTAGAATACGGTAGAAATATGTAGAAATTATATACGCTGAATTGCGCTAAAAGGCAAAGCTTCCGTGAGCGTTCTAGGACAAGAGCCTGAGAAAGGATCCTTGCGCGACGGATCGTCAGGGTCATTCTCTGTGAGCTTGTGCAACAAGTCTGCATCTGGAAGCTTCGCATCCACACCAGCCGCCCGGGCGTCAACAGCGCGAATCTCTGGCTCAGTGTCATCACCATACTTCTCCCATGTCTGCTCCTGCTCTGCAGTCTCTTGAATCTGATCCAGGATTGTTTTCAGCTCATTTTCTGTGGACTTCTCTTCTGCACATGTGGCCACTTCCTCTTCGAGATCTT